GGCCTCACTATGTACTATACTATATACTATATTAAAGTCAAAGTCAAATCATCTTCTTTTCATTTCACATTTGAAATTGCCATACTGATTAAACTCTACTGCTCATTCGTAAGGCAGATTCCCCCGAGAGGAATGATTAAGAATCTCTAGGGGTTGCTCTTCGTAAATATACATTTGAATACATTTATCATTACTTTAATTTAAACATCTTAGATCGAGAATACCTGAACGAGCTAAGCGGGTCACTACCACGGATTTTTGTCGTCCAAGTACGCAGAAGCTGTATAATAAATAACGTTTAGTATAAAGTTTTTGTTCTACAATAGTTTTAAACCTCGCATATCGCAAATTTTGAATATCAATCGGAATCTTATTATAGAAGCGTAACACATTGCCCCATAAAAATGAATTTGAAACTTTATGAAGACGATTGTCAAGAACAACTACTTATATTTATTCCTCGTATTAATGTTACGTCTGTCACTATTTTTCGTAAAAAAATTAATATTTTGTGTTAACGTGAATAACACTTTCATAAATGTACTGTGACGTGTAAGAATGTTAATCTCTTTAAACTTATCTCAGAGGGTTCAAGGAATATCTAGAGGATGCTCATCTGCCACAAACAAATAATCCTTACCCTGGCGTGATACTACGCCAGGACGTTGCAAACAGTACACTACTTAACATATAAACCGCCTGAAGGCATTCTCAGCGGCGGGCGCCGTGTATAATTGCAGTCTAATGTAATTAAATTTTTTTCGCTCAAGTTGTTTTGCGACGGCTGATGCAGATTATTAAACACAATTAGCGAGGAGCTAATTGAATAGAGTGATGAAATACGAGTCGTGCCTATGTGGTGCGGTGAGCTGCGCGTGCGCCGCCCATGTGCTGTTTGTTGCACAGATAGATTACAATGGAAAGTCCTCGTGACAGTTTCGCCGCTGCTGAAATCAACAGTGTTCTTGAAAAAAGTTTCCATGAACGTTTAAAAAAATAACTTAAATATTTACATACTTACATAAATATTATATTGCCAAGCAGAGAGAAGTAGCAAATGAAGCAAGTGATGTAACTGGTAAATCGGTTCATAATTAACGAAGAAAGTTAATAATATTTGGTTGGTTATCTACAAAGGTCTTAACAAAAAAAATAACAGCTTAAAAATCTGTAGTTATACAGTCAACCCGTGCCGGAGTGTGTGACCGAAAATAATAAGTAAAAAAACCAGTAACACGTAATAATCAAACTGTGTTTATATCCCAATCCCATGCAATGTTATGGCGGGCGTCTTATTCGGCAAATAGCATCAAAGAATTCTGATTGAATGAAAGTCTATTAGATGACACTATGTGTATAACAAGTTCACTGTATTTTCTAGTCGGAAAGTATTTTGTATGTAAATGCCTAAGTTGTCTGAATGTATTCGTAACTAAAACTAAAAAAAAACATAGGTATTATTATGCTCCTTTATAATTGAAGAATTAAATTGCTCTGGTAAGACACGTAAACCAATAAAATGCAACTTCAAATTCAAATTCAAATGTTTTATTGCATACATGTTGGTTAGTAGTTACATATAGGTCTTAAATTAGTACATACAGTATCACACATGAACCCTGTAAGGGCACAGCAATGTAAATTTTTAAGTAAATTCGAAATATTAAATTCTAAATTTACTGCCACGCACATTGCTACATATTAAATGTCACCGTAAATCCAGATTATAATTCGTCCAAACGTCAGACGGTATGTCTGTGCGTCTCTAGCGTAAAATTCGCCGCGCGTGGTTGCAGATAGTTTTTGTGCCTCTGCACACAACACTTTCCTAAGACAACATAGTAAGTAATTGTAACTAAATGACAGGTTTTTGTCGGGGACATTACGGCTGACAGGGGCTGCATTTCCTTGGCAATGGTTGCAAATTTTTCAGCTGAAACATGTCATTATAGTACACGTCGTAAAGGCAGAAGCAGCAGTCGTCACATCCACTACGGTTTGCCTTTAAGGTGTTCTATCGTTGTAAGTAAGGTATGCTGCACTGTGAGTGAAAAATGATGTCATTTGAGAGAGGTCTCCTGCTTTAAGGGGTTTGAGCTTTCTCCAACATTGCCACAATATAATTATATAGCTGTGGTGATATTCAGAGCATCCGCAAAGATTAATCGTAGTTAACAAAAACATTGCACACCAATAGTCCAGCACTGTAAAATGCTTTATACGGCGGCTTCTGCCGTAAGGTTTGTCTATTTTGGAGTTTCCATTTCGCTATCATAATGGTAGGGTTGATTATCTTTTAATAAACGCTATACTGTACGCTTAGCTCGTATATTACAGATCCGCTGCTTTCATCAATTATGATAATCGGCTTGAAGCAGTGGCGGGCGGCGGGCGGCGGGCGGCACACGCCACGCGAGCTAACAGCTATGACGGCTTTCCGAATTCTTTACAATTGGATTATGATGCTGCGACTAAATCATTATGCTCCAATTAGGTTACTACGCGCGATTCGTAAGTCTATCGTTAGAGAATATTGAAAAGAATATTTGGACTTACTTTTCATGAAATATGATACCTTACAATACCTTTGTGTAACAAAGGATACTGAATAGAAAAAAATATTTGTTTCACAACGCATAAAATATGTCCTTTTGGCTAAAATATTGGTTTATGGTGACGTTTATTAGGTGGGTTAAAATAGAAAGTAAAAAACAACTATGTCTTATCAACAAAAGTTGTTTTAAAAAGAGTTATCAAATGTTTTTTTTTACATTTTGTTAAGTGCTATGAACAGGCGTGTCGCTTACCATCAGGTGCACGACTTGTTCGTCCCGTCCCTGGGTATTATAAAAAAAGGTTAATGAGGTAATATGAGTCAGGTAGATTATGAAAGGAATATTAATGTCCCTCCAATTAACGTGCGAATGATAAAGTCATTTTGTATTCACAAGTGTCACGAAAATGTCGTTGACATTTTAATTTCATCGACGCACAAAACACATTTGAATAATCAGAGAGTATTCGTAAGTCTGCCTTGAATTTATTAATAGTAGTAGGTCAAAATGTGAATATGGATGCTATAATTTAATTTCAGTTTCATCTTCTTTATCAGCTTTCGACTGACTAGTTTACTAGACAATAGGTTTGAGTAGTTCATGGACAATGGGAATGAACTCCCAACACTGACGGAAACGAACTATTTCCTCTTCAACGATCTTAATAGTTCACGAGTATTTCCAGTTCTGTAGGAATTAGGAACTGTCTGCTTTGCGGAGCCAAAATCGCGAGGTAACAATTCACCTGTGGTTTAGTTCAGCAGGAACTGCGCGAACGGGATACTTAGCGATCTTTAACTGCTATCAGTACACGTTCGATTGAGATGCACGACTAAACGTTTCTGGTACGTTTAACTCTCTGGTACGTAACACTCAACAACTACTACTATTAGCCTGATGTATCCCACTGCTGGGCAAAGGGCTCTCCCTTATCCCTCCCCCCATCCCGATCCTAAGTAAACTGGACCCAAGCTTAAGCTATTGCTTCCTCCGTCTGCCGCGGCGCCTTACGCTTTTGAGGCTCCACTGGGTGGTTAACTTGACCCACAGGTCTTCAAGCATACTTCAGCTTCGCAGCTTTTTAAATATTTAGTAAAATTTACTATGGACCTAATAATAGTAATCCAAAGTAGTTCATTTAAATAGAAGTACTAATCTGAAGCCTTCGTTTAATATCCAATCAAGGACAAGACATGGACAAGACAAACTTAAACTTTTGAACGATTGAACTAGATTAAACAGATTAAAGACCAACCAGGCGCTAGTCTACCAGACAAGATGAAGTTTTCCATATCGATAAGTTTGTGGTTTATGGTTTAAGATATTTGTTTCTCAAAAGAATACAAATTCACCTAGCGAAAAATACAAGGTACCTATCATGATTTTTTACAGAGTGTACCTACGTGTTGACAACACATTGAAATGAAGGTATAAATAGATACAGATAAAATGTCGTGTTCTAAGAAACAAAACAGAACTCCATGCTCCTTAAGATAACAAAGATCAAAACCAGTGTTGTGTGTTTACCACTCATATTTGGTATTTTTGTATGAAGTATAATGAATTCGTTTAAAGAAATAGGCTTGTACCGATAAGGTGAGAGTTGTGATATTATTTTCCCAAAATAATATTCTCATCAACGTAATACAATACTAGCCAGAAGTTAAAGAAAGTATCTATGTTTCCCAAAACCTCTAACGCGCGGTGTGGGTCTTTGCGGTTTCCCACGCGTGGGAATCCCACAAACTGCATCCATTGTCTCACATATGCAAATGTATTTGTGCATAAACGGCTTTCTAAAGCACGAGAAAGTAATAAAATAAGAGAATAACGTACAACGGAATTATACTGTACTGTTATTTTTACTTTGAAATGGGGGGAAAGTTCCTTTGCATTTACTTCGTTTATTACTTTGATGTGTACAAAACTACGTAGGTTAGTTTTGAGTTCGCAGTTTAAAAAATAATTAATTTGTCGGAAGTCGGGCAACAAACATTATTTTAGAATTTTTGTTAAACGTCTTACGTTTACAAACGTATTATTAAGAAATAAATACATTATATATGTAAAATGTAAATGTAAAAATTGAGTAGATTCTAGGCAACAGATTTATACCTCTAACTGTACCATAATTTTTATTGTAATTTTAAGGTGATATCTCTCGAACGATTTTTGTACAAAAGTTTTAGAACATTCGTGCTCAGGCGTCGCTGTTTGCTGCTAAAATGATAATGTATAATTATTACCAATCGAAGGGTTTCATTAGCGCCAATATTATGTAGGTAAATCAACCAGGAAATGCTGAAACTTTTTGAACTTTCACGCGCAATCTAAGCAGGGAAAGCTCTATGCTCTCATTGGCTATGCTTAAAAGAACAGGATTTGGATTGGTGAATTATGAAAAGGGGGGGATCGCGGCTACATTCACTCGAGTCTTACCCGCCGTTCGACCGGCGCCATCTTCATTTAATTCAGTCCGCCGCGAATCGTCGTGGGATTAACGTTGTTGTCGAAGCAATTTTTAGTAATACAACCGCACCGGGCTTAACTACGCCGGCAACTGCTACTTTAGGATTAAAATAGAGACTATTATTCATAAATAGTGCCGAGTTAATTAATGTTTGTGAAATCCAGGAACCTGATTAAGTATTTCGCAGTGCGACAGTGTTTGATCTCGCGATCTACGTGACTGCATTTCTTTGGTGGTGTGAGCTAGCTGAAGTGTGAAAAGGTAAGTTTTTATGGTTTTCTTGATCGGCTGGAGCCAGCGTCGGCGGCGCGGGTGGATGGCCGGCTCCCCTGCCGGCGCGCGGTCGCGAATCGATTGTCCCGGTATGGGATGGGTAGGTAGGTATAAGTACCTACGGTTGGGGCTGTGAATCGCGGACACCCTCACTCTCTCGTCCCTGCAGCGTCGACTATTTGTCGTTTCACTTGCCGGTGATCTTGAACTAGCGTCGGTTTTGTTCTTATTGTATGAATTATTTATAAGTGTATGCACAGCCGAGGCCGTGCAACGGACACAGTTTTTCTAGTTGGAAACTACGGGATTGTTTATAGTCCACGTATACTGGGAATTATACTTGCGCGTACTGAATAAACGGCCTGCTGGCAATGTAGTGGCAGTTGAACGAACTCGGACGCATTAGCTTCTAATAACCACCATTAAATGTACAAACGGTATTCTCCTCCTTTGATTGTAGTGGTTGTTGCTATTGCGACAGACATTTCAACTTTTTTACCACGGACTAGTCATCCATCCGTAGTATGCTGGTAGGAAGGTAGCTACGTAAAAGTAATGCTGTCCTCCAGGCTCAAGTTCAAGGCTTTCAAGTTTCAAAGGAATGTGAAGGAACACACTTCTACAATAACTACGTTGAATGACATGAGTTTCCGCGTTATAAAGTAGCAACTGACAAGCTTTCATAAATGCGAGTAATAAATCGATCCTGACCGTCTCACCGCAGCACAGATGAAGTTACAGGCACATGAGACTTATCTACTTGCGTCTCACTCAGGGTGATAGGCGCAGTGGCAGTGCCCCTCAGGTCAGATCGATTTAAAGCTATGAGTGGCACTTCAACTGTTGCGGACAGGCATGTCGCTTACCACCAGGCGCACGACTTGTTTGTCCCGTCGGTTGACATCAAGAAAAAAAACTACTCCCCCAAGTTACACCCAATTTCTACTCACCCACACCTACATACACGTGAAATTTCATAATAAAAATGAATTTCACAGTCGTATCCTACATAAATACCGGTGTTTTAAAGTTGGTCGATAACATAAATTAGTGTATCTGGCTACGAATATACTGCCATTTGAAAATGATGTTAAATTAGTTAGGTGGTAAATAAAAATGTAATATTCGAAAGTAGGCAGAACATAGCGATGACAACATTTACGTTCAGCACATTTGTGATAATTTTTATGTTACGTAGGCACGTACGTTGAATCTGCATACTAGGTACCTACTGAGAACAGTAGGGAGGTAAAGATTGGCGAAAGCTCATTCAGAACGGAACAAGTCGCGCAAACCGCTCATCAGCGATTGAATTCAATTCAAGTGAGATTTATGAAGAGATAACAGTTACGCTCACTGATTTGTAAAACTTTTTCTACAGCTTCAAAAGTTAAGTTTTCGAACAAGTTTAACCAATTTACAATATTGTGGTACCTACACGGTCTTAGAAATCTGTTGCGTGATAATTTTTTTTTTTGGTCGGTAGGGAACATTTGTTTACTTTTGATAATTTTATTTCTAATAATCGTAATGTTTACGCTGTTTGTGTCCTCCGCAATAAAACATAAATTATACGCGTAACATTATTAGACCGTGTTATTTCAATTGAGTTTAAAAAATAGCAATTATTGTTCACTTATTACAAAATCTAATTGGCTGGGTAAGTTTTTACACACGAATAATTTATTTATAATGCTCATAAGGTTTTATTTTTACTAATACAGTTCACTAAACTCTTGCACATTTCAGAGAGCAATAATAAAGCCTAGCGAGGCGCCGCCGCCGCGAAGCTAGATAATTAATATTAATATATTGTGGAGTTAATCTTCAATTTAAAAATAAATAAATACATAGTGTAATTTCTTCTTAGTTGCCCAGAGATTAACTCCGTGTCAAACAAGTCTCTGAGGCAACAGGAAGTAGTCTAGATTTTTTATCACTTCCATCATTTGTTTATGTGCGAAAAGTAGCTCTCCGTTATTACTGTCTAACGCAATCTGAGTATAAGATTTTCGCGGATATCTGGAGATCGAAATGAGCTTTTTTTTTAATACAACTGTGGTTTCTGCCAAATGAACAAATACAATTTCATGGGTACTTTCGTGAAATGAAAAACACAGTCGCCGTTTTCTTTCCTAACTTGACTGACGCACTGCCCTGTGTTCATCGATATAGTTGGCAGTGTCTTCTAATAAAATAACTTTACAAATGCACCTAATCAGGCCTACTGGCGAGTTGTTAGGCAATAGCTTGCGTTTTGACGAGATACTTCTCATAGCGTATCGCCTCGTGAAAGTGCCAATTTGCGTTTAAACTGAATAAATAAGACTAATATTCGCTATCCAAGATTAATGGCAATGAATTATGTATTTGCGAGCGTCGCGTCGGGGTGTTACCCATTTACATACTTTCGTTTTTAAACTATTCTCTGTGACGACCAGTGGCGTGTTTACGGATTGCGAACGATGCGTTCAATATCTTATTTGCAAGAAATTAATGTTATTATTGACCATTTTTTACCATTTTTGACCCGCAACACTAACGTAGATTTTACCCGGCCAGTGATAAGTTATTGATAACACTTACTGTGTTGAGATCACTCAATTCAATAGATAAATTGTTGTAGAAAAAGTGGAAGAATGTTTAATAGAATCCACATAACTTCACACAAAAAGTAAGTACAAATCATTCGAATAATTCCATATTAATAATATTCAACAATGAATATGCAATTTTCCTTCCTCAAGATGGACATAATTGCGAGCATACTTGAAACTGTCTTTCATGAAGTTTCCATGTTAGGTTACGTTTGAACGCTTCTTTAGCGACGGAATTGTTAGATAAATTAGAATTAATCACGAAATTAAGCGTCCGTGATGTGCGGCAGTGAGCCACGGTCGAGATGCGACTACAATCAGACCGCAGCAACAGCGCAGGCGCTAGTGCAAACCTGGGATGCTCCAATGAGGACCTTTATCACACTTCGGTAGGGTTTTTGGACGATTTGGAAAACTACACTCGAATACCATTAATATTCTGCTTTCGAGCAGCAGCCACCGGCTAATAACAACGGAAAGTAAAATTACCGTTACGTCGAACGTTCACAAACTGGAGCATCAAAACTGTAATGAAGACGTAGGCAACGTAAAGTTCAACAAGCTCGTTAAATACAATCTAATTATCGCAAGGTGAAAGGCTTAGACGGAAGTTGCTATTACAAGAATGCATTCGAAAACATCATCGCTTTACTTTCCCAAATCTGCGGCAGACACGCCAACCGACTTTCCAACAGCGCGAAGACGATCTTATCTGTTTCATAAAAATGAGCCGATTTAGTTGCGAGACTCGGATGTGTAGCATTTCAGTAATTAAGTGCGCTTTAATTATTCCGCGGCGCGGGACCGGAACGCAGACGCTTCGCCATTCCGCGCCCGCACCGTAAACAATGTGCTTATTTCAAAAAAATAACTTTTTTATGGATCTTTTAGATAGTTTAATCCATGTTTCCCTCGTTATGTACTTATTATTTTGAGTTTCACGTCGAGTAATAATGGTTGTACTCTGTGAGTGATTTATCGGATTTGTTAATGCGAATGTCTGGTACGATCGAGCACGGTTGTCGGGTCGCCTGTAAAAGCGGCGAGCGCGGCCCGCGCGGCCCGCGCGGCCCGGGCGACGTGGTGGCAGACGGGCGTGCACTTGATGGACATATCGCGATAAGCTATCGCCGAATTTCGCCGGTAGAGTGCTTGCATTACGTCCTTTATTTACGTTTTAAAGAGGCTTTCGTCCTATATCTTTAGGACTTGTTATCACAACTCATATTATCTATCATCTATTGCTTTCATTTTATTTGACTTACTCCACTAGGGCGTTTACGCAAAATTGTCTCTTGATTTAATCAATGCATTCTAATCATTGACTTACAAATAAATGGACGACGGGTCTAATACAAAAACCACGAAAAAAATGTCACAAGTCAACCTATTTAAACGTAGTGACATGTAAAGGAATATGAAAAAGCTAAAACGTTGAATTTAAATTGTAATGTCATCGCAGTACTGTCTAATTTTGCTTGCTTCGCTGTCAGTCGAACAAACGAAGACTAAAGCGTGAATGACGCTCTGTATACGATTTTAACACCCTATAAGTTCGGACACTTTTTAGCGCGGACCCGACGTCCATATAATTGTAAGGCAATGATTCTAATGTTATAATTGTATAATCAATGACCTTAATTTATCTGGCAAAAATTGCAGTATCCAAAGTGTGCCCAGAACGTTGTAACTTCCGACAAGTGACATCTATTTCATAAATACCATAAACTACTGGATAGCCTAGGGATAGATAGAAATGTGCTTAAAGCCAGTCGTGACAGACTCGTGGATGATGGTAAAAAGTAAGAGCAAATCGCAGACACGGAATCAATCAGAGAAAATATGATTTCTCTAGGTAATAAATGCGGCTACGTACCTATAAGCAGTGAATAAGTGATCGGCGAGCGACACAATGCAGAGGCAGCATGTAGACATCCGCCTATTGTTGACAGAGGGTTATTTGCTATTTATTACCTTTGAGTTTGTTACTATTGGATAAGAACCATAATGTCATATTTATTAGGCCATGCCCTGAAGATTTTCCCAAAACTTAAAGCTGGGACAAAGCAAATTCAAAGGGAAATAGTACTTACAGAAGCATAAAGAACTTCACTAGAAAATGTACGTTAAAAGGACTTTATTTACTCTCCACAGCTGCAGTGTATGTATGTTTCGTAATAAAAGGTCTGTAGCGGAATCCAAACAAGCCGTAATGGAGTGTGAACAATCGAGCGCAGAACATGCTGCGGACATTAGTGCTGTTTACACAAGTGACAGACTACAGCCGGCGCCTGCGCACACCGCCGCTGCATACAATTACGCTTTGCTTCGCAACGATAGCGGTCTCCAAGTTATTGAATGAGAAAATGTAAATAAAACAGACTTAGACAT